GTACAAGGTAGAAGGGTATACCAGTCGTATATAGTGCGTGCGGCAACATTCACACCCTTCAAGTCAAAGTTCAACACAACGCCCCCCTCCCCCCCTCGCATTCTTAGCTCAATCCTTCCTGTCCCTTTGACACGAGTGGCGCGTTCCTCTCTGCTTGAGTAACAATCGATGGGAGGCCTGGCACGCGGAGTGATGTCGCATCCGCCCTTGGTGTAAAGGAGATAGGTCAGCTCTTCTTAGCTCTGCTTAAGCCCCGCTCGCGCGCTTTTAGCCGCGTGTAAAACACGATGCGCCGGGGGATGCTATCGATTGGGACATTACACAAAACATGACGGCCAGTGGCGTAGCCGGGCGGAGGGCACATCGGTAACATGCCTCCCTCTCCTCACCTCAAAAATTTTTTTCGCCATGGCATATATAGCGCAAAATGACCTTTTGCCTGCCCCCCCCCCCCCCCCCTTCAGATCAAGGTGCACCTTTCTTTTTTTTTAAATTTCTGGCTACACTCTTGGCAATGGCAAAAAAAAACTGTCGATAACGCCCAAATAATTGCTATCCCATTAAAAACAAAATAGATCTTGCCTTCAAGTTATCTTAGGCGTATGCATAAAGTACTCTGAGAATTTTTTTTAAGCACTGCTTTATAGAGGACACGGCAAGGGGTTTTTGGAGTGTAGACAGAATGCCCTGGCGATATAAAATATTGCTGCAAAAGGAAAATGAAGTTCCTAAATTGTTTAGTTTCAACACAGAGATGAGTGCCGGAGGAGGTTGGCTTTCTGAGACTAGCTGAATGACGTCATATCACGCCCAGTAGTCGATCAGTTGTGAAGAAAAAGAACCTTTTTTTATTATTGAAGTCATCTTAAGGAAATGCACTTGGTACTGTGTAAGTCTCTAGCTTTGTACAACACAGCATTTGTCTACCATATCTGCTGATAACCTCATAGGTGTATATATATTGTTATTTCATGAAGTACACGTCTATTCATCCAGTATTCTGTTTGTTTGCTTCAGAAATAATCACTGAACAAGTTTCCCCAGAATGCTTAACAGCATGACGCCATTATTTTTGCATCATCAGCTGAAATAGGGAGTGCTTCTATTATGATTGGCTTCATAAAATTTGCTATGCATCTAAATATTGTCAGCTTTTCATTAGAAAACCTTAGAGTGATTTTTAGTGTCCTTGAAGGTAAATGCAACTTGCTTCTTCTCCAGGATTTGAAGTTAGCTGCTCCAGGTTGCTCCAGAATGGAAATTTTGCTGCTCCAAAGTGCTCCAAATTAGAAAGTTTTGCTGCTCCAAAGTGCTTCAAATGAAAATTTTTGCTGCTTCAAAGTGCTTCAAAATGAAAATTTTTGCTGCTTCAAAGTGCTTCAAAATGAAAATTTTGCTGCTCCAAAAATTGCTCAAAATTGGAACACCTCGGTGGCATCACTGCTGTATGAAAAGAGCACTTCTTCCTGGAGTGGCCATATTGGCTTTCACTGGTGTTTTGTCGGAGTTCCGCGCTATTGGATCCAATAGAGTTGGCTGCTAGCCTTACATTGTATAACATTACAATTTGTTGCTATTGCTCTCATTGCATTGCATTCAACGTGCCGTCATATTGCTATCAGAGCCAATTGGCAAATCGTGAAGGCTACGGTGTCTCGAACTCGCGGAGCTAACGGAAATGCGTCCGAAGATTCGTCGTTGGCGCCGCGGTCTCTGAGAATTTCCATCAGCGCTCAATCTGACATCTTCTCCGTAGTGACGAAACGGTTGTCTGCATTCTAAAAGACGAAAAAAAGTATGCCTGAACTTCGCCGGGGGCCACACCATACGTGCGCAGTAAAACCGTGCATGCGTGCATGGCGTTGAAAACGACATGGATATCGCGGAAAACTATTCGGTAAAGCACCCTTCATATTCAGTGCAGTCCCACTTATGTGACGCTGACTAAAAGCGTGGCACTGCCAGTGCCAAAGTAGTTTTCTTTCTCCTTTTTTTTTTAGTTTGGAGAGGGAGGAAACATCCGCGCATGCACCTGCGGCAGCAAGATCGGTGGCAACGCCGGCTTGTGGGGTGCAGGCTCGCCTGCCCGCCACCTTGAGCACACCCAAAGCTACCGAGGCCACGAGCGCGCCACCACCGCCTCGCGCTTCAGCGGTGGCGGGGCAACCGTGGGAGATGCATGCTCGTTCCAAAATGACAAAATCCAGGGCGAAATTCCTATACTGTCCGTGGCAAAAATTCGTTTTGTCAAGGTTGTCTCCCGCTATTACTTTGTCACATAGAGGTCGCAAATATATGTGCTTCTACGAAGTAACAGCGGGGCATAGAAAAACTTCATTATATCGAGAAATTTGTTATATAGAAGGTTACTATAAGCAGGTTTAACTGTACTGGCTTTGTCAGGGTAACGGTATGAAGTGGAGGCATATCCAAAAGTGATAGCAGAGCCAGTAAGAGCGTCTGAGAAGGGGAACAGCCAGAAAAATAAATTTTCCATTTTTAGAAGGAAAATTGGGCTTGTCTCTTCATTTTTATCTGTTTCTAATCATCAAAATATGCTCATGCTAGAGTTTTATTGTTAAAATGTGGTAGCAATTTAATTCATAAGAATATTTATTGGGAATTCGGGAAATCAAGTACTTGTTAGATTAGTGTAAATACTCTACTTGGAAGCATAGTTTTTATCAAGGTGAGCCGAATAAATGCTTTTCTTGTTCCTGTCCTCCCCATTATAAGCTCAGTGTTTTCAAGCTACACATTTGGGCACACTTAGCATGTTTGCATTTCGTTTTTGGGGATACTGCTGACAAGACGAAAGAATGATTGTGGTCCCTTCGAGTTCGTCTTAAGGGGAGTGTACTGTAATATGAACTGGAAATAGTGCCCCTATATCTTTTATTGGCTTCAGGATCTGTTCGTGGTAAGGCTGGTCTAACAAAGAAATGGGCCACTCCATACCTGCCCATCAGTGCCTCCTAATTTGTTTGAATTTAATGTAATAGTAAGACAGTTAGTCGAAAAGTTCGGACCAGATTGGGTTAGATTTTTGTCAATACAGCCAGATCTCTGAGAGAAATTTTGATTTCTGGAAATTTTCCAGCCAACTGTATAAACGTAAGAAGTGATCAAAATTTCGAGAGTCTCCCAAATTTTCTGGGAGACTCTCGGATTTCGATCATTTCTTACATTTATACAGTTTGTTGGAGAATCTCCCGGAAATCAAAATTTCTCTGTGAGATCTGGCCGTATTGACAAAAATCCAACCCATTCCGATCTGGACTTTTTGCGGAAATGTCTTACTATCGCATTAAATTTAAAAAAGTTAGGATGTGCTGATGTAAACATACAGCAGAATCGGTGATACGAATTTGCGAAATTCTGCAGCCGAATTCCACTGAATCTAATGTGCCAAAATTAGGATGTTCTTTCACTCTGGTGCGTCGCTCCGGGTGATACAAATTTCACTACCAAATCATTGAGCAGTGGCTGAAAACAACATGCAAGAATGCATGTGGCCAACGAAACCACGGTTGCTGGTGACACGATCGTGTATAGCACCCGCCACGGCAGTGGTCTAGTGGTTATGATACTCGACTGTACTGATCCGCAGGTTATGGGGCCGCATCCCGGCTATGATGGCCGCATTTTCGATGGAGGTGAAAATGCTCAAGTCCTGTGTTACATTTGGGTGCATTTTAAAGTGCGCCTGGTGACAGTGACAAGAACCCTAATAGTCATGAGGAAAGTGGTTCAAATTTTCGGAGTCCTCCATTATGGTGTTGGAGTCTCCCATAATCGTAAGGCGGTTTTGAGACGTTCAACCCCATCAATGGTTATTATTACGATAAACTGACAGAACTCGATGATAAAACATACTGTTGTGCACGCGCGTGCAAAGCTCACTCAGCCAAATTGACGCTTATTTCCACAAGCGTGCGGGCATATGCCCAGCCATTGCAAGCCGAATAAAAACGGAACTACTGTTTGCCGCAACTGCCATAAACTGCAGACGCTGTGACGTGATCATGGATAACAACTACGAGCTACGAAGGTACGCGGCTAATGGAGTGGTGGAATAAGTGCGATAAAAGCATAAAAAAGAAGCACGAGGCAATTCAGTCGTCTTGTCAATCTTCGCTTATGACTACGATGAAGCAGTCTTTAGCACTTAGCTTTCAGGTGGCCTCATGCGAAGCTTTGATGCTTGCTTTCGCAGCAGCTATCTACTCCATCCCTCATTGGTCCGTTCACGTGTGTCCCAGAAAAATGTACGAGAGTTTGTGTGACGGGAAAAAAATGTTTTTTGTGTATATCGTAGTTTGGAAACTGATTTTGCCAGTTTTGTTTTATTATACAATGTTTTGGGGGACAATATAAATATTTGCGATCCCTTGTGACATTTGCACATATTATTGAGATTTGTTTGTCAGCCATTATGAGACCACACCGCCAATGCATTGCTCTTCTTTTGTTCATTGCTTATACTTGCACGAAAAGCTGTGCGTCATGATTGTGCAGTAAGTGAACTCATTCTTTCTCAAACTGGTCATGATCTTGTGATGCCAATGGCAATTACTGGCTCCATGATATTGTTGTGAACACAGTTTTGATGTTAGTTGTGTATGAAATGATTTAGCCAAAAATCTTGAACTAATTTTCTCTGAGCGCAAGGAGCTCATTAGAGTCTGTTAAACACTAATAATTTATTCTGAGCTGCATTTTTTTGTCACAAATCTTCTGTAGAAATTTCAATGTAGGCATCTTCAGCAGATGAAGTGCGTATGTTTTATTCATTATACCCTGCATGCTACTAAAACAGACAATGCTGCTTTTTATCGCCATTGAGTTCACTATTCATGTTGTGCACAGATTAGCTTATCAGTAAACATTTTATGTCCCTAAGTGTCTGTATTATATGAAGAAGCTGTTCATAATTTTTATATATTTTATTTTCTTTACAGATAAGCTACTGATTGAACTAATTTATCAAAATTTTTCAGAACTTCCTCCATTCCAGCATGGGAGTGCGAAACCAAACTCTAGCTCAAGATGTCTGGCAGACGATGAAAAAAGCCCAGGAGACTCTGCAGAAAACTCAGCCAGGAAACAAACACTTGCAAAAGCCACATGTCACTGACGAGAATGGTTCGAAGGGCGAAAAATTGCACCATTCAGAGGACAAAGCAAGGGGCCAGCAACAAGAAGAAGAAGAAACGCAGGATACTTCAAATGAGAATAATGCACCAGGAAAGAAGAAACAGGAAAATGGCTCCGCTCAGGTAAAAGTTGAGAAGACCAAGAAGTCAAAAGAAGAGCTGCTCAAGAACAGCATGAGTGATGAAGTTAACTCAGATAAGTCGAAAAAGAAAAAGCGAAAGAAGCGGCAACAGGAAAATGTCATTGAAGGTGGCTTGCAGGACGACAAGGAAGACAGGCAGGACACTTCAAGTAAGGATAATGCACTAGGCAACAAGAAACAGGAAAATGGCTCCGCTCAGGTAAAAGTTGAGAAGACCAAGAAGTCAAAAGAAGAGCTGCTCAAAAACAGCATGAGTGTTGAAGTTAGTTCAGATAAGCCGAAAAAGAAAAGAAAGCGAAAGCAGCCACAACAGGAAAATGTCATTGAAGGTGGCTTGCAGGATGACAAGGAAGACAGGCAGGACATTTCAAGTAAGGATAATGCACTGGGCAACAAGAAACAGCAAAACGGCTCCGCTCAGGTAAAAGTTGAGAAGACCAAGAAGTCAAAAGAAGAGCTGCTCAAAAACAGCATGAGTGTTGAAGTTATTTCAGATAAGCCGAAAAAGAAAAGAAAGCGAAAGCAGCCGCAACAGGAAAATGTCATTGAAGGTGGCTTGCAGGACAACAAAGAAAACAAGCAGGACGTTTCAAGTAAGGACAATGCACTAGGCAAAAAGAAACAAGAAAATGGCTTCGCTCAGGTAAGAGGTGAGAAGACCAAGAAGCCAAAGAAAGAGCCGCTGGACAAAACTGTGAGTGATGAAGTTGCTTCAGAGAATTCAAAAAAGAAAAAGCGAAAGAATCGGAATCAGGAAGATGTCATTGAAAGCGACTTGCAGGATGAGGAGAAGCCGACAAAGAAATTCAAGCGGCAGGACCAAGAGGACGACAATCACACTGAAAAAGTTGATAGTGAGTATAGTGCTCTACTACTTTCAACAAAAAACATTATTAGACATAGAGAGGAAACCGTAGTAGGATTCTTCAGCAGGCCCTCGACATGAGTGGAGTTCTGTCCAGGACCCCATAAGTTGTTGCCACCTGGCACACTGTCCTTACGAGATAGAACAAGTCACACAGTTTTTATGCTGTACTGAGTGAGAAAAGTTTCCATAATTCATCATGAATTGCATAGGACTATTCAGTTGTCTGCTGTCTAGTGAACACACAACAGAGCTTTGCAGTTCAGTTAAAGTTGGTGACTTGCAAAGTACAAGTAAGAGCCACACCGACAGATGGTATTGAGAAACAGTGTCACCCAAAGTGATTATCATTGCTGATGTGCATCATTCATTCATTATTTATATTAAAATCTTTTAAATAATGTCAGAGTTGACATAAAATCATTGTAAAATGTTGAGCCAGAGAAACGACTATGAGTCTGCCAATGGAATTGTAGGTTAGGGAGAGAGATTCTCATGCATCCAATATTTTCTCAAGTTCTACGTGATGCTCTTGCGAAGTTTAGCATTTCCTCTCTTTTTCTTCTGCACTATACATGTATTATGTCAATCTGCCTGTCAATCAACTCTCTGTAAAGACATTTCTTGCGTTGTATTGGCTCAACTGGTATTAGCCCCAAAACTTTTTGGTTTGGGGGGTAGATTTTAATTAATGACCTCATGTTTTGCTGGGCTGCTGCTTTGTGTCGGAGAAGGTGTGCTAAAAGCTATTGCATCATTTGATGCAGAGATCACGTGTTGGGCCCACTTTTTTTACTTCAATCATAACGTCCATTGTTCTCTCTTCTCGGGTTACGCCTTGATAATGAATCACTAGTAGCCCAGCTGTAGAGCCATTGCAATGCCAGGCGTGCGTGCTATAACAGCCAAGTTGTTGAGCGATCGTTGCACCAGTCCCAGCTCAAAAATGTATGTCATGTAGAGACATAGGCGTGGGCACAGGATAAGACATTGTGTTACCAGTTGTTACTACATCCAAGTGCTTCTCTAAGCTAGTATCAATGCAGCTGTACATACAATTAAACAGCGCCATGAAAAGCTATAAACATTTGCGTTATCCCGCTTGCGGTATCATTTGTGGTTTTTATTTTTAACCCACATAATTGGGGAGTGCTTCAGTAGGGACCTCAAAAGTTTGGGCTTCCAAAGTACTTTGCGCGGGCTGGCCTTGGCTCATACAAGAGTTATGTGTTTCCGAATAAGGTCTTACGTTCACATTTTGCGTCTCGTGCATTTAGCGCCACAGTGGCAAGAAAGGCAAGCGGCAATGCAAAATAACTAAAAACTGACTCAGGAGTATGACTTCAGTACACATGTTCTTTGAAATTGTTGTTTTAAAGGGGTGGTGGTAATGAATTTGCAGCTAATCACCACCAATTTTGTGTCTGTACTACTTGCTGCCATCAGCCAAAACAGTTCAACTTTGGGTCACCAACTAGGTTAAAGGGGTACTGACACAAAAACATTGGCCTCGCGTTTTTCTGCTGAAATGTGTTGCTGGGGGCCTGTTAGTCATGACACGACACATCGTTTGCTGTAGCACGTGACAGGTAATTAACTACAGGCCCCTCATTATCGATCAGTTTTGATTTGAGAGAGCTCCAAAAACTGGGTGCAACTGTCGCCACCTAGCGTGTGCAGATCTTGATCATGTCACCACACAGAACTATGACACACTTTTGCACAGTACGCATCATGAATTACTTTCGAATAGGAAATGGTACTGCAGTGTCGCCAAACACATGTTTTTATGCGTGCGCCATGGCCACGCACTCGCAAGCAGCCACCAAAAAGTATAGACTACGGGAACAAACGTGGCAAGAAAAAAAATGGCGGCTATGGCGTCATCATAACTCGTTTTGTTGACAGCAGCGCGGTGACGTGGGGGAAGTAGGGGGTCACCTTAGGGTCCCCTTTGATGGTGTCAATGGCGCGATGAAGTCAAGGGCTCATGCAAACTTCAAAATTCTTTTAAAATACTTTCCCAGCCATATTGGCTGTTGATACTTTGCAGATGATATACGAATGTTCTTGGGGATCGACCCCACAGGCTATCTCGGCCACAAATTTTTGTGTCAGTGCCCCTTTAAGCCTACGACTCCCATATAGATGACTGGTCTTAAAAACAGGCTTTTTTTTTTCAGCGAATTTTAATTGATTGATATGTGGGGTTTAACGTCCCAAAACCACTATATGATTATGAGAGACGCCGTAGTGGAGGGCTCCGGAAATTTAGACCACCTGGGGTTCTTTAACGTGCACCCAAATCTGAGCACACAGGCCTAAAACTCCGCCTCCATCGGAAATGCAGCCGCCGCAGCCGGGATTCGAACCCGCGCCCTGCGGGTCAGCAGCCGAGTACCTTAGCCACTAGACCACCGCGGCGGGGCTGCAGCGAATTTTAGTTGTGTACACATGTGGAGACAAAAAAAAATACACATAAAAAACACCTGTAATTTTCTTTTCGCCTTTACATATTGCAACTTTTTGCATATTTGAATTGAGCCTCACCTTTCACTTGTGCCATATTTATATTTTTCTTCTTTTATTGCGATGGCAATTATATGGACACCCTTGGCTGGATTTCGCCGCCGCCGGCGATGTCACGCACCATATATGTATACGTATCTATATATATGAAAACACGAGAAAAAAAAAAATCCCATAAAAAAAGACTCCGGTGCTCAGAAACGAACGTGGGACCTCCACGCCGTGAATGCGAGGCGTTAACCACTTAGCTACCAAGGGGTACCTCCTTCAATGTTTAAACAGCAAGCTATTCATATCTACCACTTACCGCTGTTGGCAGTCATCTCGGGGGAACTATCGTGTTTCCAGCATTATCAGCAAAATAGCGCAGTGAGCAGGCGGTGGCTCTCACCTCTCACGCGTACTTTTGCCTGCCTAATAAATAAGGGGGTGTATACTCGATCGCGCGCCCTTATCTTGCAGCGGGGAGAATCGTACGTCTTGGCTAGCCTTTGAGTTTCGTCGGAACGATTCTGTTGTAGTTACCGGGCGCACAAAGATCACTGAAATCATTGCACAGCCTCTGTTCGTGAAAAGGGTGCGTTTTTCAGACACAGCGATGTAATAACTGAGACGCTTATTCGCGTTAATCTGTACCTGCGTGTAGGTTTCAGCGTCTTTTGTGCGTGAGAAACACGGGAAACGTTTCGATCTGCTTGCTATTCTCCGCGTGACCTTCCAATTTGTTGCTATCGTGTTCATTGCTTCATCTTTGCGGCAAAGCTGTGACTTTTTTTAGATCTGCAGTGTCTCAATAACTGTCTCAGAGGTTCCACATTATGCCAGTTATTGTTTAACAATTTACTGTTGTTTCAAGCCTCGCTATTGCCTGTTCTTAAGCTCTTTGCTAGTCATAAGTGCCAAATCTATTATTGTGATGCAACAGCTAATGTGACCTTTATTAGGCCCTGAAGGCATGGTGAAGCAACCACACATGAGGCACTGATCACATTCAAGTTGAGTCCCCTCAGCCGATAAAAGACAAACACCCATGGTGATGAATATGTATGAAGAACATAGATGCATCTAATGAACGCCCATTTCCCTCCACGTGAGAACTGTCATCCCGGCCGCAGTTTAATGTGAAGAACGGTGCCTTGGGAAAAGCTTCATGTGTGATACATGAACTATCTGCTGCCCGGCAGCAATGGTCTGTTGAACGGAGTACAGGTGCCACGCGGTGATTCATGGGAGATGTCTGCTCCAAGACCGTCTAAGGACCATTGAAGTGGAATAAAAATGTTTCGCTCAATATTTAGTATTTATGGAATTCAATATTATTTTTTATCAAAAATATCAACTGTATATACTTTGATATCCTAATTCTGGTTCTTCCTACTACATGTAGTGTCTGATGAGACAACTACGTTTTAGCGTCTGCGGTAGCGCCCATGAAACGTGTTGCTTACTTGACAAAAAGTTCACAACAGTGGCCATTGGTAGCTGAACTGGTAAATGATTAATGATTGGTTAAAAAGAATAATAGACCATTCCTAATTATTACTGGGAAAACCAGCTAATGCAGCGTGATGTGCACGCTGAACTGCCCAGGTAATGACCCCGTGAAAAAGCAGCATATCCAAAACTCAACCTTCGTCGTATCAGCATCACGCTTATGAGTGAGCATCATAAGCCAAAAGTTAATGCTTTTTCAAGTTATGTTTGTTCGTGTTGCAAATTGTTATTGTGCAATTACAATTTAATTTTTTTCTGTGTTTACATAAACTGTTGTGTATTGCTTTTATAGTATTTATGAACTGTGCTTTAATCTTTTTTTTATCGATGAATGTCAATTTGCCCAAGTATTACTTGGAGAACTCTTGCTCCATTTAATAGGTGTACACATGCACTCATCCTTTGCAGAAGCAGCGGAGAAGGTGAGGTTTAGGTGGAAGAATGCAGTCAAGAGAGCACTACTGAATGCTGATAAGCACCAACTGTCTCGGAAGCAGTTGCAAAAAAGAGTGAGTGTTTTTTTTTCCAAAAATATGCTGATGTCAGTTAGTGCTGTAGCTGCATATAGCAGATGGTGCACTGAGTCACTGTTCTCATTCAGTTTTTAAATAAAATGGATCTGTGAGGTTCACATTGGAACTGCGTTTTCTCCATACGGTGTAAGTGTTGAGCTTGCTGCTGTAGTTTGGTGCCCTTTCCACATCTTGTGTGTTATGACACATGGAATAGTGCTGCTTCTGATTTAACAGAATTTTTTAAAATCATCTTGCATATATTTAGCTTGAATCGGTCACATCCTGCTGTTATGTATCTAGTAGTACTAACGGGAAAGAATGCTAAAGTGGATTAAAAAAACCTGTTCATGTAACTGTTTCAGTAAGAATATCATTGTATAAATCTTTAAGGCTATATTATACATCGTATGCAGTGATGGAATAGCTGTGCCAATTGTGCCAAACTGTGCCTAGAATTAAAAGCTGTTACATCCAGCTGCACTGCAGCAAAACTCTCATAATTTGTGCCAAGCGTGCACCAAGAAGCAATTTTTATGGGTTTTGGGGGGAAAATGGTGCGGTAGGCACTTGACGTAGCTATCTGATCGATCAGAATCTTTAGTTTATGTGCGCAATGTTTTCTAGCAGTCTACTGCATGTTTACGCACAGTTACAACTTACGGAAATGAGAGCGACACAGCCGTTCTGATTTATGCATGCTAGCCAATTGACTACGCACCTAAGGAAATAGTTATGGTCATATTGTCAGTAGTGGTTTCTGACGGGCTCAGTGTCTGACCGACCTGCGACGTCAATGTAGAGCACACACGCATTGTCATACACGAAGTCCTTAGATTGTTCCCTTTCACTCAAAAGTAGCGACAGCAGCCACCTATACACGTCCTCTCTCATGTGCAGCCAGTGTCTGCCACCATTTTCTCCTAAACTGGAAGATTTACTAAACAAAGTTTGTCTAAGTGTATTATCCATGCACCTTTCTCCTTCCACTAACCCCCAAACATTAGTAGGTTGGGTAGGCATTCCATGAGGTGCTGGAAGAGCGTTAGAAGGAAAATGGCTACCGAAAAGGAACATTAGCTAATGAGATTCATCCATGGCAATTTAATGGTTGTTGGTATTTAAGAAAGAAGAGGGAAAAGTCTGGGGACTTGAGTTGCTCCTGTCAAGCATTGCCAACTACCCCAACTGCTTAATAAGGTTTTCTGTAAATTCTGTGGCATAATAATAAATCGAGTAAATATAGTTGTAGCTGTTGTCAAGTTAGAAAAAGTAACACCTGGCATTCATTACACGGAGCAGTATGTTTATGTTCTTGAACATAGCTCTGCGTCTTTTTTTTTTTCTAATTGGTAGCACTATTTGCTCTAACTAGCTGCAACAAGCGAACACGAAAAGCGATTTTCTAGATATGACGCTGTGGTGAGAATTTATCTACAACTTCAATTGCAGAAGAGACCTGTAAAGTTTTGCTGAGAGGACACGGAGCCTTTTCTAGCATCTGTATTCGGGTGTCTTGGTCCTCCTTCTCGGCTGTGGTAGAAGCTCAGGTTAAAGAACTTGTCGAATGATATATGAAGCTTTCATTACCCCTGGTTTCACTTAACGCAGTGAATATTTCGTGCACAAAAGAGCGACTAATTTTTGAATTCTTTCTGTTGACTGCCCACAAAACAGCGGCGCAACATTTCTCTCACGACATCATTTACTTATTTTACCATAAACATAGGCCTTCGTTTAACAGAAAGCACGAACTCATCAAGTTGGACTTTGTATCTGAAAAAAAATGCTTTTTTACTATAACTGATGCATCAGGGAATGCCTTATTTAATGACAAATATAAACTGTATTGCAAGGAAATGTGATGTGACCAACGTCACAGGGCTGGAGGAACTGAAGGTTGGGCACGAACAAATGAAGAGCAGCAAGTTAATTTAATCTTTTTGAGTTTTTACAATAAACATGCATTCGTGTGTTTATATGTACACTTGGTTAAATGTGATACTTCTTCATATTGGAGACAAATATTTGTGATTGCAAATGTGGGCCTGGTAGCGTGCTCCAAAAGGCTCGTTTGCTCCTCCAAAACGAGGTTATTCTACTCTATGAGCTGCGCTGAAATTGCTTCAACCTATCACATTGCTGCGTGTAGCGAAAAAAACTGGAAAATGGCACAGGAAGCCATCGAGTATTATGTACGTTTAATTGCTGGATTCATCAATGCTATGCAACTAAATTTTTAAAAAGAAAAGTAGAAATCTACATTTATTTCTAGATTCTTTCTTAAGTCTCAGCAGAATCTATCAATGCATGAAGCAGAAACAGCTACAGCATTACTTACACTTGTGATTGATTGCTTGATTCAGTTTGCATCTTAATTTCTTAAATCATTACAGACATTGGACATACAAATAAATGCTCTTTGTTTGATAGTTCTGCCATGGATAGGTGGCTAAATCCTTTGAACAGTAGTAACGCATGGTATAGGCATGTCATCAGCCTGTGTTGGCATGCCATAGCAAGAATGGTTTAAATTGCACAGCTTTATGGGCACCGAGTAGGCTGTATATCTCCCATCTATTTTGAGGCTTCTGTAAGACCTATATTTTTCTGGAACAACTTCATCTAATGTGTTTAGGTTTGCACACTTTTATTCCTCAGCATCTCTTCTTGCAGTGAAGCTAGAATTACAATCGTATTTTGCATGTCTTGTTTGAAATTTTTTTATCGAACAAATTAAATTTTGTCATTATTTTTTCAATAAAATTGCCCTCCAAAATAAAAACTATTCCATATATGTGCACAATTTCACCTAAAATCCTAAGCAAGCCTTTTCCCTGAGGTGAAAGATATTGTGACAAGATTTGGGGGGGGGGGGGTTGGGGGGAGGCTTTTTGGTCATGGGTCTAAAGTGAAGGTGGAGGCAGAAGAGGTGTGCATGAGTTTATTGAATGTTATACTGAACACACATGTATTCACTACCTATATTCGCCCGATGAGGGGCAAGAGTGAATGAAATAGTGAAAATGGCAGGAGGGGAGTGGGTAGTGCTTGCTTGAGATTTTATGTTAGGTCAGTAGCTTTGTGCTGATGTTTGATTGGTTCTAATAAAAAAATCAGCCTTCTGCTACCTTAAAGTTATTTTGATAATCAAGCAAAAGTAACAAAAAATTGATTGTGAAATATTGAGTTAAAGAGGAAAAACCAGTTTACTTCATGTTCGAGAAGGTGATGTACTAAACAAATTAATTAATAGCTACCTGCCATATAGTCATCCCATAAATAAACTTTTCACTTTTCTTTTTTTTCTTGGTTTCCTGGCTCGTTTTGTCATACCTTCTGTCTCTTTATTGGCCAAATAGTGTACTGTAAATGATGGTCAATCTCACCTGACCATATCGGAGTGTTCCACATTGGTGTTATGCCAAACGGTCTTGAGCATATTTACTCAGGTCATGAGGCCTTTCTGAATGTTGGAACGGTTGCAAAGGTGGCAGTTCCGAGGGTTTTCACTTCAAGGAACAGGATTCAATGTGTTCTTTACGAGTACCATGATTCCACTGCATTCTGTGCTAACGCAGTTACTCATAATTACGGTTTGTAGCAGCTCAACATCAATCAAAGTGATGGCATTGACATTACAGGTAACATTTTGCTCTTGTCCTGATGCGAAATTAGGAAAAAGCTTACTTGCTGAAGTGCTCACATGAGCGCTCCCGGTCTCGTTTCTGATAGTAGCAACAGCATGTAGATTTACAGTTATACTATGCTTACTAAGCAATTTCTTTGGTTTCTCAACATGACAATATGAAAGCCACTGCAACAAAATCAACAAAGGTGCAACTAAACTCAAAATAAATGCAGAGAACCGTGTCTTCGTCCATGTCTCACACACACATACAAGTGGACCCTGTAAATTCCACACATGTTAATGAGAACTGTACCGTGTGCTTTTAAATAGCCGGAATACTTTTTAAAGCCTGTTGAGCTCAGAGGAACTACATGGTTAGATTTTTGAAAAATTCGCTTAAGTCAGACACTTCGGGTTGTGCACAGTGTGAAAAAAGGGGGCTAGGCTGCTCATCAGTTGGTCTCAAACATGTGGTCTTTTTAGCTCAATGAAAGCATGAAAAAAGAAAAAAACATGTCGGGTACTGGATATGTTCAAGGAAGGCCTTGTCATTCCAAACATCAAAAAAAATGAAAAATGAAAAATTAAATTTTACCCCACCCTGGGTCTTTAGAAAAAACCAGACATGTGCTCTATAACCATGCTACCTTTGTAAGAGCCACTCATAAATGACGAGCAGTGTCACGGTAATATTGCGTGACAGCAATATAGCAGATGATAAAAATGAGAGCAGAGAGGTGTATTAGTAAAATGACACACTGCTTCAGCATTAGGTTTGGCTGATTAATTGCCCAGTGATGATCAAACTGCCAAATGCACTGCAGAGTAATGAATACCTGTGCAGAGGTGGAATTCCAGATTACATTTTGTTCTTGCTCAAGCTGAATCTATGACAAAACTGGTAAAATTATTGTGTATCTGACTTGCTACATAGATATAGCCCTGTCGGTTCGACGAGATTGCAGCAAGCAGCTCAACATTAGGCATTGTTGAGAGGCAGGTTTCTATACTGACTGGAAGTAACTCATTTGCAGTTGCAATTAACTCGTTAGTCAAAGAGGCAGGTGTCCATAGAAGAATTATTGCATAGGCTATGCTATCATAATGCATCTACCTAGAGGGTGTTTATGTTCTGTACCCTTACAGCCAGCATCAGTGAGTGCACCATTCAGCTTTTGCATGCAATCAATTCTTTATGAGTTATGTTTTAGAAGTGTGTTATAGATAAATTGCTTACTGTCATTGAGCTTAAAGTGCCATCTTTAAAACTTAACTGTAAGCTCTGAAGCTGGTTATGTGGGCGCTCTAGCCAATGAAAAGTCAAGAATCCAGTTAGAAGAGCATCTGAAACATTTGTGCCTGTGCA